CAGTAAAATAGTATGTACTGTTGTTTATGAAATGAAACTATAAAGTTGTTTTTATTTTGGAAAAAGCTTTATTTGATATGTTGATTCTTCATGTATGCAATAATGGAAAATATGTTATCTTTTTTTTTTTTTTTTGAGATGATGGGCTCTCGCTGTGTTCCCCAGGCTGGTCTCGAACTCCTGGGGGTTGCTAAAGCAATCCTCCTGCCTTAGCCTCCTAAGTAGCTGGAATTACAAGTGTGCACCCTGTTAGTTATCTGTTTTGTAGGAAAGGTGGTTATAATTATTTTCCAAAATGTTACTTGCTGATTATAGTGGCTTTTACTGTTATGTGTGTTTTTTTGTTGATCATATTAGTTTCTATAGAAGTAGGAATGTATCTTACTTTTTTGAAACAGGGTCTTGCTGTCACCCAGGCTGGAATGTTAGTGGCACGATCATGGCCTACTGCAACCTCAACCTCCTGGGCTCAAGTGATCCTCCAGTATCAGTGGGCGCCCCCCTCTCCAGCACCCCCACCTCCTGCAGGATCTGGGACCACAGGCATGTGCCACCACACCTTGCTAATTAAAAAAAAAATTTTTATGGAGACGAGGTCTTGCTACATTGTCCAAGATGGAGAAGTAGGAATTCTTAAGGATATTGTTACGGAGGGAAAAAACAAAGGTATCATTTCTAGTAATTAACAAGATCAAAACAAAAGTATCATTTCTAGTAATAAGATTATAAAAACTCTTATAGTTTCAGTGCTTTAGGATTACATCTTATTTTTTCTTCTTTGCTCTGTATTCTTATATTTTCTGAAGTAGAGTATTTAAAAGTTATTTTTAGTAGAGATATTATGCAGAAGGTACCTGATTTTGTCTTTTCTGTTTGTATATTTGTCTGTGGGATTACCTTGTATTAGTGTAGATTAAAAAGCACTGAATTGACCAGTGTGACTGATGCCTGTAATCACAGCACTTTAGGAGGCCAAGGTGGGTGGATCGCTTGAGCTCAGCAGTTCAAGGCCGAAACCTTGTCTCCACAAAAAATTTTAAAAATTAGCCGTATATGGTGATATGTGCCTGTGGTCCCAGCTGCTTGGGAGGCTGAGGTGTGAGGATCACTTGAGCTCAGGAGATTGAGACTGCAGTGAGCTGTAATCGCACCACTGCACTCCAGCCAGGGTCACAGAGCAACACCCTGTCTCAAAAAAAGAAAAAAAAAAAAAGAAGGAGGAAAACACTAAGACTCTGGTAATGGATGGACAAATGATATGACCAGATAACTCACACAACTAATGGAGAATTAAAGAAATATGAAACAATGTACATTTTTTGCCTATCAAATTAATTATTTCTATTGCTTCCTTACGTGCTTTTGATAAACTGTATTCATTCAGAACACTTTAAATATTTCCTACGTAATTCCCTTACATTAAGTAATTCTCTTTTTTGGAACTACAGAAAAAAATCTTAATTACGGAAAAAGGTTTATGCACCAGAGATGTTTATGACAGTATTGTTTTGGTAAAAAAAATACAATTTGTGCACATTTCCTGGATGCTGTATTATGTAGTCTTTCTTTCTTTCTTTTTCTTTCTTTCTTTCCTTCTTTCCTTCTTTCCTTTCCTCCTTTCCTCCTTTCCTCCTTCCTTTCTTTCTTTCTTTCTTTCTTTCTTTCTTTCTTTCTTTCTTTCTTTCTTTCTTTCTTTCTTTCTTTCTTTCTTTCCTTTCTTTCCTTTCTTTCCTTTCTTTTCTTTCTTTTCTTTCTTTCTTTATTTTTGAGATGGAGTCTGGCTCTGTTGCCCAGGCTGGAGGGCAGTGGCACAATCCCAGCTTACTACATCCTCTGCCTCCTGGGTTCAAGCAATTCTCCTGTTGAGTAGCTGGGATTACAGACATGTGCCAACACATCCAGCTAATTTTTTGTATTTTTAGTAGAGATGGGGTTTCCCCCTGCTGGCCAGACTGATCTCAAACTCCTGACCTCAGATGATCTGCCCACCTCGGCCTCCCAAAGTGCTGGGATTACAGGCATGAGCCACACCGCCCGGCCTATGTAGCCTTTAAATATGTTTCTATTTAAAACCTAGAAGTTATGTATGATAAATAAAAACAGGATACAAAATGTGAGGATACAAAGTAGTACATGTAATATGGTTATGATTTTAAGTAAAGTTGTGGAAATAGAAGACTACAAGAAATTAGACAATATTGTGATTAATATCTGTCATCCTGTTTTCTTTCTATTGTGTATTTTCCGTGTAAGAAGAAAAAGACTCGTGATGTATTTGAGGGAAAAAAATTTAAACTACTTTCTGTGTGAAGCGATTTCATGCCTTTTCCAATGACTAAAAACAATAGCTTCAATTCAGTTGTTAAAAATGAATTTGGGCTAGGCATGGTGGCTTACACCTGTAATCCCAGCACTTTGGGAGGCCGAGGCAGACAGTAATTACTTGAGCCTAGGCATTCAAGACCAGCCTGGGCAACATGGCAAAACCCCATCTGTACAGAAAAGACCCCCCCAAAATTAATCAGGCATGGTGGTATGCACCTGTAGTCCTAGCTCCTCAGGAGGCTGAGGTGGAAGGATGGGTTGAGCCTGGGAGGTCAAGGCTGCAGTGAGCTGAGATTGGACCATTACACTCCAGCCTGGGCAGTGGAGCAAGACCCTGTCTCAAAAAAAAAAAAAAAAAAAGTTTTCTGACTTAGAAAAAAGGAAGAAGAAAATATGTAGGCTTAAATCCACAGTTACTAATTCAGTGAAGCCAAGGGGCAGCTACCTAGTTGCCCTCTCTCTCTAATTGTGGAAAAATACACGTAACAGAATTTACCATCTTTTTTTTTGAGACAAAGCTGGAGTGCGGTAGTGTGATCTCAGTTCACTGCAACCTTGACTCCTGGGCTGAAGCAATCTTCTCGCCTCAGCCTCCTGAGTAGCTGAGACTACAGGAGCATACTACCATGCCCAGCTAATTTTTTATTTTTTGTAGAGACAGGTTCTTACTATGTTGCCAGGTCTGGTCTCTCCTGGGCTCATGTGATTCTTGGGCCTCAGTTTCCCAATGTGTTGGGATTATAGGCGTGAGCCACCAAACCTGGCCATATTAACCTTTTTTTTTTTTTTTGGAGACAGAGTCTCGCTCTGTCACTAGGCTGGAGTGCAGTGGTACGATCTCGGCTCACTGCAACCTCTGCCTCCCGGATTCAAGCGATTCTCCTGCCTCAGCGTCCCGACTAGCTAGGACTACAGGTGCACACCACCACGCCCAGCTAATTTTTGTATTTTTAGTACAGCCGAGGTTTCACCATGTTGGCCAGGATGGTCTTGATCTCTTGACCTCGTGATCCATCCACCTCGGCCTTCCAAAGTGCTGAGATGACAGGCGTGAGTCTCTGCACCTGGCCATATTAACCATTTCTAAACATACAGTTCTATAGTGTTAAGTACATTCATAATGTGTACAACCAATGTCCAGAGCCTTTTTTTTTTTTTTTTTTTGAGACAATCTCCCTCTGTCACTCAGGCTGGATTGCAGTGGCACAATCCCACTCACTGCAACCTCCGCCTCCCAGGTTCAAGCAATTCTTGTGCCTTAGCCTCCCAAGTAGCTGGGATCACAGGCACCCGCTACCACCCCTGGCTAATTTTTTTTGTATTTTAGTAGAAACCATGTTGCCCACGCTGGTCTTGAACTCCTCAGCTCAGGCAGTCCACCTGCCTTGGCCTTCCAAAGTGCTAGGATTATGGCCTGGAGCCACCACACCCAGCCCAGAACTTTTTCATGCCCATTAAACAGCAACTCTCCATTTCCTCCTTCCCCTAGTCCCTGATAGCCACCATTCTACTTCCTGTTTCTATGGAGTTTGCTACTCTAGATACGTCAAATTAGTGGAATCATAAAGTTTTTGTGTTTTTATGACCGGGTTATTTCACTTAGCACAATATGCTCAAGGTTCATCCATGTTGTAGCATGTGACAGGAGTTTCTTCCTAAGGCTGAACAATATTCCATTGTGTGTACAGTCACTATTTTATTTATCCATTAATCCACTGATGAATATTTGGGTTGCTTCCACCTTTTGGCTATTGTGAATAATAATGCTGCCCTGGACATAGGTGTGCAAATACTCTGAGACCCCGCTTTCAATTCTTCTGGATATATACGCCAACAAGTGAAATTGCTCTGTTTTTGTTTGAGGGACTGCCATAGCATTTTCCATAATAGCTGTACCACTTTACATTCCCACCAGCACAGTAGTGTACAAGGGTTCCAGTTTCTCCACATCCTTGCCAACACTTGGTATTTTCTGTGTCTTGATATTACCCATTCTAATGGGTATGTATGAGGTGATATTTCATTGTAGTTTTCAGTGCATTTCCTTAATAGTTAGTGATATTGAGCATCTTTTCATATGCTTGCTGGCTAACCCTCTCTTTTTTTTTTGCCTTTGCAGATAACCTTTACAAACATTAAATTCTATCTAAATCTTTTACCAGCTTCTTTGTTAGTGGTTCTCTCCCTATTTGCCGTATTTAATCTCTCATAGCTCATTTATTCTCATTCTTACCCAGCCTACATATCCTGAAGTTGATTATCTAAGTTTTCTATTTAGAACCGCCTTAGGTATAGTTTTATTTATTTGTTCAACTTTTACTCAGTAAATTCTCTATATAAAAAACTGTATGTGCACTGAGAAACTTCCCTAGAGACAGATATGTTTGTGTCCATAGACAGGAAGAGTGTAATCATTTTTCAATGGGATAACATTTGAAAATTTAATCATCATAATTTATGTTCATATGTGCCTTTTATTACATTTAAACATGTTTTTGTGGACCAAAATTCAAAAAAATTAAAGAATATGCAAAGTCCCCTTTCTATCTCTATACCATTGCTACCAGTTCTTTTCCAATGAGGCAACCAAATGATCAATTTTTATATGACTCTATAGTATACTTTAAATATTCTGTATCATATTTAATTTTAACTGACTTTTTCCCCCCTTGTAGTTGATTATGGAAGATTCCCACAAGAGTACCACGTCAGAGACAGCACCTCAACCTGGTTCAGCAGTTCAGGGAGCTCACATTTCTCATATTGCTCAACAGGTAAGGGAGGGACCGGCCAAAACACTGAGCTCGTTAGAAATATTTTATATGCAGATTAATCTCTTGTTTCAGACTGATTATTAATGTGTTTTATTTTTATTCATTTTTATTTTTTTATTTTTATTTTTTGAGACAGATTTTTGTTCTAGTTGCCCAGGCTGGAGTGCAATGGCACAATCTCGGCTTACTGAAACCTCCGCCTCCTGGATTCAAGCAGTTCTCCTACCTCAGCCTCCCAAGTAGCTGGGACTACAGGCATCTGCCACCATACCTGGCTATTTTTTGTATTTTTAGTAGAGATGGGGTTTTACCATGTTGGCCAGGCTGGTCTCAAACTCCTGATCTCAGGTATTCCACCCACCTTGGCCTCCCAAAATGCTGTGATTACAAGTGTGAGCCACCACACCCAGCATTAATGTTTAAAAAAAAAAAAAAAAGGAAAGGCCAGGCGCAGTGGCCCACGCCTGTAATCCTGGCACTTTGGGAGGCCAAGGTGGGCGGATCATGAGGACAGGAGTTTGAGACTAGCCTGACCAACGTGGTGAAACCCTGTCTCTAATAAAAATAGAAAAATTAGCCAGGCGCAGTGGTGGTTGCCTGTAATTCCAGCTACTCAGGAGGCTGAGGTAGGAGAATCACTTGAGCCTGGGAGGTGGAGGTTGCAGTGAGCACAGCCCATGCCACTGCACTCCAGCCTGGGCAACAGAGCGAGACTCCATATCATAAAGTTAAATAAAAAATACAGTAGAAAACCAAGCAAAAAAAGACTGTATAAAATGTTAAAATATAGGAAAAGAAGGTGGCCTTTAAATATCTTGTCAAGATCATTTGGTTTTATTTTCTTTTAAACTAAGTATATAGTCATCCCTCAGTATCTGTGGGAGATTGGTTCCAGGACCTCCCACAGATACCAAAATCTGTGATGCTTAAAGCCCCTGATAGAAAATGGCATAGTGTTTGTATATAACCTACATATTTTCCTGTATACTTTAAATCATTTCTAGATTACTTTTAATACGTAATACTATGTAAATGCGATGTCAATAGTTATATTGTATGACAAGAAAAAAAGTCTCTACATGTTCGGTATAGAGAAATTTTTTTTCCTGAATATTTTCGATCTGTGGTTGGTTGACTCCACGGATGTGAAACTGATGGATGCAGAACCCATGAATAAAGAGGCCTAACCATATTTAGAGTTGTTTCCTTTGTTTTTGTTTTTCGAGATGGAGTCTCGCTCTGTCGCCTAGGCTGGAATGGAGTGGCACAGTCTCGGGTAACTACAACCTCCGCCTCGCGGGTTCAAGCGATTCTCCTGCCTCAGCCTTCCGAGTAGCTGGGATTATAGGTGCCTGCCACCACACCCAGCTAATTTTTTGTATTTTTGGTAGACACAGGGTTTCACCATGTTGGTCAGGCTGGTCTCAAACTACTCCTGACCTCAGGTGATCCACCCACCTCAGCCTCCCAAAGTGCTGGGATTACAGGCGTGAGCCACCGCGCCCGGCCAAAAACGTTTTAAAAATTGGCTGGGTGTGGTGGCACTGCAACACCTGTAGTAACAGCTACTTGGCTGAAGCAGGAGGATTGTTTGAGCCCAGGAGTTCAAGGCAGCAGTGAGCTATAACCATGTCACTGCACTCCAGCCTTGGGTGACAGAGTGAGACCCTATCTCCAAAAAAAAAAAAAAAAAAAAAAAATGCATGAGTGTAAGAGCCATTTAAAGCGCAAGATTAGACTAATGGATTTTAACGTTAACAGAATACACAAAGTTCAGACTGTACATAGCAAATAACCTTTAAGAAACTATAACTTGCTGAGTTTTGCTGTTGTATCAAAGAATACAAGTAAATGAAAAGGCTATTAAAACACTACATATCTTTTCTAATTGCATATCTATGTGAGGGCGGATTTTCTTCATATAATTCAACCAAAACAATGTATGATAACATAATGTTGAATCAGAAGAGATTTCAACTGTTTTCTTTTTCTTTTTTTGTTTGTTTGTTTGTTTTTTGAGACAGAGTCTTGCTCTGTTGTCCAGGCTGGAGTGCAGTGGTGTGATTTTGGTTCATTGCAACCTCTGCGTCCTGGGTTCAAGTCATTCTCCTGCCTCACCCTCCTGAGTAGCTGGGAATACAGGTGCCCACCACCACGGCCAGCTAATCTTTGTATTTTTAGTAGAGATGGGGTTTCACCATGTTGACCAGGCTGGTCTCGAACTCCTGACCTCAAGTGATCCACCCACCTCGGCCTCCCAAA